CGCTGGCGTCGAGTAGTGGATGGTGATGATGCATACCTCTAATCTTCAGGTTGGTTCGCTATTGAGATATTTAAGAAAAATTCGTGTATAAGAACTTATGCGACAACCTAATAGTAGGCAAACCAAATGCAGAGAGCTCAACAATTCTTTCTTGTAGAGTTCCTGCTATCTGCATTTCTACTGGATAAGAGCTTCATAACTGATATGCAATTTTGTGGTTTGCTTCCAAGATTTCTATAACGCAGCTGTAGATTTGCAGTTTAGAATATGGCATTTCATACTAAATTTCCTGTCTCAATGCCTTTGCATCGCCGCAGAAAAAACAGGTGCTTATTCCTCCGTCCACCATTGTGCACAACATCTATCCTTTCCACACGCAGTTTCTAGAAACCATGCGCAATCATAAAGAATATTTTGACTATGTGACGCATGATGCTGTCTCTTGGTGAATTGATCACGACTTGCACTGGTGATGGACCTATCCAATATGCTGCCCTCATGCAATGAATGAATGTTCGGAGATTTCTTGAACAGCTTGTAATGATCACTGTTCCAAATTCCATTAGAATGTCATTCTGTTGGGTACCAGAGAACGTCGAAATTAGGTTACTGTTCCTAATTGAAGCAAGAGCATACGTGATTCAAGGCAAATAGAGCATTTTGTTCCAGCTTGATAACCCGAAATGAATAATATGAATAATAAAGAGAAGTATGTGGCAATTGGCGTGGACAGCACCTTTGTGGATTGTGGCACGTGGACGAGGGTTGAAGGGACAGTTCTTACATATTTCGATTTAGATGAAGGTCGAGGACTGAACACTCATCTCTCAAGGCATTGGTGCTGTTCTTCTGATCAATCTCTACCGTACCGGCGATCAGGGGAAGCCGGGCAGACTTTACTAGTAGATACCGTCAGATGGTTTACCAGCAGCGCGATATGCTACTTCATTCTTGTTATTGTTTTATAAGGAAAGCCCTTTTTGTCTTTGAACTTTTCACGCTCTGACGCAAGCGATTCAGCCGGAAATTTGTTCAATGAACTGTAGCACGGGGCTCAAGCTAATCAGAACAACTCAATAAATTATGATTATTTGCAGAGAGAGAGAGTGACACTTTGTTGCGGACGGCATAGTTCATGCATGGACGAACTGGTATGGTAGGCTATGAATGCGCTATAGATTAAAGTGGCGTCGTCTAAGATAGTGGCTGCCCAGAGCTTGCAACTGTAGGGCTGGGTAAGAGAAAGCAGGCTCGCAGTTTTTGCTGAACATTTGCAAACGTTTGATGCCGGTTTAGTTTAATGAATCTTCTTGGGAAACTTTTATCGCATTCATTGTAATCAGTAATCGTCCTCCATGTAGAGGCAAACGACCTTCATAGTTTTACCATTGAAGTAGCCGTTGCATCCATACTTCGGTCGAGGTGAATTCATGTTACGTACCTAAATAATAACAATTACACAGAAACTTTATGGTTAGGTGTAACTCATAGCAATTCGCTGCTCCAAACGTCTGTATTTCGTTAAGCCTCGACTTACACTTTGATTGCTATCCCGCAGACGGAACAGAACTCTCCTCGCTTGTGCCTCAAGCTTAGAACCCGTAGCAGGCCTTAAGAAACAGGGCAGTTACGAAGAGAAGGAAGCCAATCACGCAAGGAGTGAGCAATGACCAACATTTGCGCCTCAAGTCTGAAGCCTTCTCCAAACTCCTCCGTGCCCTTTGCTACTTCACAGGCTCTCGTCCCAAGTTCGTTGTCCCAAGTCTGAAGGCAGAAGATCGTCTCAAAACAGTATCGTGAAAATTCACCGAATAATGCCAAAAGTGCTCAAAGGTCATCAAGCTCCATAATGTACGGATGGTTGCTTGGCTACTTTTTGTTAACATTAGTATGAGCTATAAGATAAAAATATCAACCAGGCTAGGGTTGAAGCGTAGATTTACATCCTTATATGTCCGATACATTGCATGGTACGTGAGACATTCGTCTGAAAGAGTAACTGCAATTTTCCAGAAGAGACGATTGACTCAACTGTATGCATTATAAAGCTAGAGTACGCTAAGTGTTCGGAGTAAGGGAACATTGAGTTTGCTACACTCACTCTGAGAGCTGACATTCACGATGAGAAGGGCGAACACTGCTGTGAGAGCCGAACAGCATTGAGATTGCGACAAACTCTTGCTACAGGCCACCACTTTTATAGAAGGAAACTGGCCATACCTTCCCAATGCCTCCAATTATAGTCCCTTTTTCAGTGTAGTTAGAGAGTGATGTTCATTGTATTCCTCTCTCACTTCAATGGGCAGTGGATCCACGTGTATTCAATGGTGGCGTGGACTCAGGTTATTTCTCACCCTATCTTGAGTTTTCGCCGGCGGCCACTGTCTAGTGCTGCTGTGAAGACCGGCGGAACAGGACAGGCACCGGGTTGCGAATATGGTCCGTTCCTTTCAACAGAGGAGAAGAGCTTAACAGTGTCGAACGGAAGGTGAAAGAGCTTTAGTGTCATTTCCATTGGTATTTGTGAGCACGTCACGCAAAAGTGCAGAACACGTGGATTTACATTTCATTGAATTGGAAGATGAAGTGCATGTAAGGTTTGAGCTGGCCACGCTCTCTCTATAAAAGTGGTGTGCTGCGAAAGAGTTTGTCGCAATCTCAATGCTGTTCGCTCTCACAGCAGTATTCGCTTTTCTCCTGGTGAATGTCAGCTCTCAGAGTGAGTGAGGAAGTCTCATTGATTTGTTATTCCTGACTGCAAGCATATTTAGATCCTATTGTATTCACTTAAGATAATCTTCCCTTCAGAATTCGAAAGCGTAATGATTTTTTTCAGATGAATGTCTCACGTACCATGCAATGTATCGAACTTATAGAGGAAGTCAATCTACGCTTCAACCCTAGCCTGGTTGGCATTTTTTTCAATAGTTCATGTTACGCTCTCCCAATGCAGACAGGCAAACAACTACACGAGCTTTTCATTGGCTACGTGAATCGTTGTGCAAGTGTCTCGGATTGAATCGTCCTGAAGAATACCAGCTCAGCATTGAGCTGGTGATTCAGAGCACTTTCATGATTGGTCTTTCTTTTCTTTTCACGCCATTGTTTTGATACGGTCTTTTGCCTTCAGACTTGGGACAACGACCTTGGGACGAGAGCCTGTGAAGTAGCAAAGGGCTTGGAGGAGTTTGGAGAAGGCTTCAGACTTGAGGCGCAAATGTTGGTCATTGCTCACTCCTTGCGTGATTGGCTTCCTTCTCTTCGTAACTGCCCTGTTTGTTAAGGCCTGCTACGAGTGCTAAGCTTGAGGCACAGGCAAGGAGAGTTCTGTTCCGTCTGCGGGATAGCAACCAAAGTGTAAGTCGAGGCTTGAGGGAATACAGACGTTTGGAGCAGCGATTTGCTATGAGTTACACCTAACCATAAATTATTTGACTGCAGTGAGACTGATGTTCCCGTGTTCAGATTCTTCGCTTTGTCAATGCCTTTGTCACTGGTAATTTTCAGGTACGTAACATGAAGTCACCTCGACCGAAGTATGGATGCAACGGCTACTTTGATGGTAAAACTATGAAGGTCGTTTGCCTCTACCTGGAGGACGGCTACTGATTATAATAGATCCGATAAAAGATTCGCAAGAAGATTCTATAAAATACATATCGTCGAACGTTCACAAATCATAATCGCAAACTGCGAGCTTGCTTTCTCTTACCCAGCGGCACAGTTGCGAGCGCTGGGCACCCACCATCGTACACGACGGCACTCACGATTCTAGACTTTATTTTCGGTTCCAGTGCCATCTGGCATCGGCATA